TCTGCTGATGTGCTTCGACTTCGCATTAGCAATACTATTTTTGAAGGACCTGGAGGCAAAGTTATACTCCTTTTTAAAGGCGCTGGTATTTACATCACTAGACGCCGATGCGCCAGCCCAGGCTTGGTAGCATTCCAGCTTTCGGCGAGATGCCGTCTTGCAGGAGTGACCAAACCAAAGTTGGGATTTGCCTCCGATGGGCACTGCAGAGAACGGAATAAATAGTTCCATACCTTATCCTTAGCGACTCACCCTTGTTTCGCTCGCTCTTTTTCATCCGCATATTAGATAAAAAAGTGAAAAATGTCGGTATCACCTTGTAGTGATTAATCATGTTATTAAAGTGTAAATAATTATTGTAAACATACATAGGTATGATGAGTTTTATATCCCTTACTTGAGAAATGATTGATTCCCCATACAAACGTTCATCCCCCTTTTCACCGCCTTAAGGGATAATTTCCAGGATGAAAACTCTATCCACCCCAACGTGCGTTCACCTTGTCGTGGTGGGGGGGCTCAGTAGTGCCCGGCAACCCAACCGGGCGCGAAGCCAAAAAACGCACAGGGAGGTGGCCCACTTCGGTGGGCGGTGGGAGGTGGCCCTCCTCGGAGGGCAGTGTACCATGCGGGTTGCTCCTGGTTCTTCTCTGATAGCAGAGTGGACTGTGGAGCAACCCTGTGGTTGTTGTGGTCTACTTCGGCAGACCTGCCGTCGGGGCGTCGTAGTTGAATGCGTAAGCGATCCTGCGATGCCCCACAAAGACGGGGGAAGGTTTTGTTGGGTTTTAGTGGGTAGTACTGGCTTTGCCGGTGAGTCCCACACCTCGTGCGTAAATGCATTTCCCAACGTTAAAAAAAAAAAAAAAAAGATATATACACATGATATCACCGAATTTTCTGTAGGCGTTTTTAAGACCTACAATTTTCTAGTACATTGTTTTAATGTATTTCTAAAGGTTTAACCAGAGTTAGCCATATAATCGGATGAAAACAGTTTTTTTGACAAAACTCCGTCTAAACTCAGCCATTTTGTTTAAAATATTTACAAAATATATATACCTTCCTCGCAAATCACTCTTTCTGTTAGTGAAAATTGTATCAAAATCCGTTGCGTGGTTTAGAAGAAGTAAGCGGAGAAACAGACAGACACAGACAGCGACTTTGTTTTATATGTACTATGTATAGATAATATATAATATATTTAACTAATTTATAGGGGAGTTATGTATATTCATCTATGCAACCTTAGCCGAAATTAATGTTCAAAAAAGTAAAAAGGACTGGCATTTTGATATCTCGCCCGCATATTAGGTAAAAAAGGAAAAATGTCGGTATGACCTTGTAGTGACTAATCGTGTTGTGTTTAATGCTGTAAGCGTTTAGTTATTGAGTCTTTCTGTATAGTAAGCCTCAGTAACATTCCGGAGTTGGGAAGTTGGCGGTGTTTCACCCCCGTGCCTCGGAGAGCACGTAAAGCCGTCGGTCCTGCGCCTTAACTCTCACCGGTCGTGTCGAGTGGTCGTCCCACCGGAGTATGAGAGTGACAGGAATAGAGAGTGCACTTGTGTCTGCGCGTACACTTGTGCACTATAATATCTTCTGCGCAGTTGGCTAGTCTCAATGAGATTGGCCGCCGTGGCCGGAATCGGTCAGAAGAACATCATCATCATCACTGTAAAGCGTAAATTGTTATTGTAAATTTTGTAACTCAATATTTAAATAAAAATTAAAATAAAAATTTCAATCAAACAAAGCCGCGGCAATATCTAGTAGATAAAAAAAACCAATAAAAGTCAATCCAATATTAAAAAAAACTCTGATGAACAAACATCGTACAACATCGTATCGTCGATGAACAATATCGTATTAAAAGTTTTTAACAAATATTTGCAACTTAGAATATTGAGAATCTCTTCAATGTCTTGGTAAACAAGTATATTAGGAGTGGTTGTTTTAAATATATAGCATTATTTTGATTTCCAATATTTTAATTGGTATATTTAATGTATGGGTAAATTACATAATCTGCTTTCACCTTTGTATATAAAGTTCCTGTGTTCCTAGTTCTTTTAATCCTCCTAAACTGCAGCTAAATCTTGTCACTTTACCCGCGCTTTGCTCAATAATTCTATTATTAACATTGAATTTACTAACGAGATTCCATTAATAAGATAGATACTTTGAAATTAAACTGTTTATCTAAACCAAGCTTTTTATACCGCGTTTTAAGCGTGTACACTAAAATAAACAAAACCTAAAACATTTTATTTTATGTAAATCTATTCCGTATAATAAAAAAAAATCTATTTCATTCTTTTGTTTATCGGTTACTGATTTATGATTATATCTTCTAATCTGCAATATGTCTAGATATTAGACCAATTAATTATGTATACATATGATTCGTCTGCCTCTATACAAAAACTCTGAGTCGAATTTGTGCATTAAATATTTTTCGCAAAATATATAGTTATTATTATCGATACAGAGGCCGAATCTATAGATTTAGAATTTCTGTCTGTCTCTCTGTCTATCTGTCTGTCTAGGAACGCATCACATGAAAATCATTGGACAGTTTTTGATGAAATTTCGTATGATGATAGATGGTTATCCGGGTCAACATATGCGGGAAAATTTCCCTGAAAAAATCTATAGCAACCATTAAAATGACCTAGGAATGAACCTGAGCGGGGTGAGGATGAATCGCTAGCTAGATATAATATTTAAAAGTTCACACTTCAAAAATTGGTTTAAATAATAAACAAGAAATAATTGACTTACTTTTTTAATTACTCACTTATTTAATGATCTATACAAAATTTTTGACTAGCTGTAAACATTTCTACGACATTTTATACAAACTACAACATTTCACTATTAAGTCTCATTATATTGGTTTAATTTAAACCGTAAATTGGAAAATAATATTTATATCTAGCAGAATTAATTAGATTCTTCTTTACATAACTATAATAAATATAAATAATTTTTTTTTTTTCAGACTAGAAAATTACTCTAAATACAAAGGATATTTTAAAGGCTCAATAGCTTGTTTTCTCAGCTATTGAGCCTTTAAAATATAAAATAATATTAAAAATATTATTTTACAACAATTTATCATATTATTTTTGTAAATTACTAGTGCCTACAACACTTACCTATATAATATTACATATAAACATCGAGTAAGTTATATTACATCGCGAAATGGTTGTTTTATTTTAAAAATGTTAACGGAATTGCTCTTTTAAAAATCAGCATGGAACTATGAAAGTACTCGAATGAAATGTTAATTAACTCTTGAAAGGAAGTCGAGATTGTTGAGCTCGACTTAGGTCAACAAGTAGCTATTGGCCCAATATTGGTCATTCTCAATTAAAAGGATTGAATCTCTTTTCAAAAATGCATAACAATGTAATGAGATAAAACTTAAAGAAATAAGGTATACATAATATTATATTGAATTATACCAACTACATTCATACAATTATACCATTTTGAATATATGTATCAAATATATCAATGAAAAAACTTCTCAGTATGTTACATATTTATGATTTAATTTAAACAATACAAAATAATTTAAAAAAAATGTTAATACGTATCATTAACGCCTTTAATTTTCTAATATTTGATAATACGAGCTTCATAGATTTACCTTTTTGATAAAAACGATCTATGGTGCAAATTGGACCAAAATTATAATAATATCAAATATTCGCGTGAATCAAAGAAAGTTTTATTATAATTTTAGTTTTAATGAATATATATTATTAAGTCTTTTATTCTGAACACAAACAAAAATCAATTTTAACAAAATCAAAAATATCGAAGGCGAAATATTGAGATAATAGAATGTATCTAAAATATTTTATCGTTAGTGACACTTCATAATCATATTTATATTCGTCGAAAAAATTAAAAAAAAAACATTGCAGATTTGGACGATTAACCTAAAAGCTAAATACAAGTCTGTCGCAATAAAATCGGTCCATTAATTTTCACTACGTCTTAGTATATCTATGACCTTATGACCCAAATTAAGCATCACTGTCTTGTTGACATTATATATGTATAGGTATAAGGTAGTGTGATAATGAAGCAATCTATTTGTTATTACAAATATGAATTTAAGATTGTATATCTGTTGATTGATATCATTATAAATATATGTTCTATATTATGTTTAAAGTACCATGGTCTACCTATTAAAAAATAATAATATGAATATATAAAATATAAAAGATACAGATATATTAAAGATAACATATAAAATTGTGTTTTAAATAGTGATAATCGTATATAGTTCAATATATAAATAACATTGATATTTCTAAATAAGCAAAGTTTGCTTATTTATATATATTTTACTATCATAATTGAGTTAATTATATAAAACGCATTACAACATTGTTTACTTAAAATTAAGCACCTTTCATTACAATTATAATGTTTTTTTTCTACAATTAAGCTAAAGTAACTAGTGTATTATATATATTTTATTCGGTCACCTCGATTATAGTGTTTGAAGTTCCCACGATGCTTGTATACAACATTAAATCATTATTTAAATAATTACTTAAATACATGTCTATTACAATGAATTAAAATAGTTAACATGGTTTAAAAGAAAATTACCAGCTACTTTATTGCTGTCTTTCATATATTTGCCTCGAAGACAGCCTATAATTACACAAAAAATTGATTTTTTTTTGCATATAAAAATGAATATATCATATAAATGTAAATCTACAACATCAAAGTAATATTTCACTACTCGTTTCTAGACAAACTTTATGATGTCGAAGTTTGTCAAAATCGTCTTGTTTTATATCAACGAAATTGCTGCCGCACTGCACTCAACAAATCATACCCATAGCTCCGATCTGAATAAAATATAGATCCATACTAAATAAAAAGTTGTGTTAAGTATGGAATAAGTATAATTAAAAGATTCACAAATGCGCAGCCTTCTTGACTGCGGATCGCGATCGCTACGTTTTGACTGTTGTGGTGGTGGTGGCGCGCTCGCTGTCCTGGTGGACCAGCGAAGGTCGCAGTTTGCCTGCCAGCCGTGTAAATGTAGAACGAAACTGTCGGCTCATGCTGCAATAGAGAACGAAGTTCACGGCGGATCCAACTAGCGCCATCAAGTCCATCACCTCACCTGATAATAGACAATTCCATCTGACTTCATTTTGCTTTAATTCTAACAATTGTTACAAGCTTTGAAACTACGTATTAGCTACCTATAAGGGGTCATTCTATATTCCATTGTGAAATGTTGGCTTAAGTGCAAACAGAATGGTTTCAATGCTACGCTTTAGAAACCTACCGAAATACAAACATCTATTCGTAGATTACAAATATCCATAAACAAAGTATTGTACAGAGATTAAATCACTACTTGACGTTTTATCATATCGTGATATAATTTAAATAAATTATCTAAAAAAACTAGATCAATTTCAAAATCGCTTAAAAAATAATCATTTTATCATAGTAAAATATTTCTTGAAAAAAAATGGAACTATTTTTGAGATAAGTGTAAACTATTTTTTTTTAAATCATAAAAATCGATTAACCATTAGAAAATATATCGGTGTGTGTAAAATATACACAAAAAAAGCATAACTAAATGAATATCTACAACAAACTCTTTTGAATTTGGTAAAAAAAATAATAATATTTGAATTTCTTTTGCGGTGATAGTATAAATATTTCAAATTTTCCGAAAAATGAAAAGTTCTTGAACTAATTGCACAAAAGACACTTTACATAAAAATCTAAATAACCTTTTTCTCTATCTAAAGTTTGCATTATTTCTGCAATTTGTAGAGAATAAAGAAGTAAGATTATTGTTTTAGACCTTGATTAAAATAAAAATAACATTCACAATTTCAAAATAAGTAAGTACATACTACATTTATTTTTATTACTTTTTCTTAATTCTGACAATGTAGATAAGTTTAAATAAGATTATATATTTATATTCTTATAATAAGATGGTGTAAATTTTATTTACGAAAAAAAAATTTTTTTTCGATTTGAAGAAATTTTTGCTTAAGTTCTACGAGAGTTGGATAAAATCTAACTCAATCACGAATGATTTGCTTCTTACTCAATCATCAATTTAAAACAAATCACCTAATGGCTCTTTAATGTTCGAACTTCAAAGAATTTTTGCAAAATATTCACAGCTCCAGTAAGTGTAAACAAAAAAATGAATATTATCAATCAGCTTTTCATCAAACTCTTTTAAAATGTTTCAGTTTTTTATGGATATTTAAAATTGTAAAGTTTATTATTGAAAAGAAAAAACCTAGCTTTAATGTTTAGTTTTTTATATAGCTTATAATCTAAACAAACTACTACTTTATAATACGTATAATAGTTTATAATACGTATAGTAGTAAACAAAGTAGATCCAATATTCAAGAAAAAAATTACAAGTTGTAGTGACAAAAAGAAAAAAAAAATCTATTACGAGTGTAAATCTTATAAATAATTTTAATATGGAAAATAATCTCTTTTCATTGATGTAACAGCAATGTTCAGCAGCTGAACACCTACATAAATATGTAGGTGCTCAGCTGTTTGTATTGTCAAAATAACAACTTTTTACTAAATGCACATGAAATTATATATGGGATTTATAAGAAAAACACATTTTTTTTGTCTGTTTGTTCCGGTTTATCTCCGAAACGGCTGGACCGATTTTTACGGGATTTTCACTGGCAGATAGCTGATGTTATAAGGAGTAACTTAGGCTACTTTTATTCTGGAAAAAGAATGAGAGTTCCGCTCAAAAAATTAAAACTCAAGCGAAGCCAGAGTAAGTCGCTAGTATTAGTAATAAAGTACCAGATAAGTAATATTCAAAGACAAATATAATTTATTATTATTTATGTTGTATAAATAAATGCTCAGAGAACTTTACGTAATTTCATTTAATACTAACAGTCTTAGTGGCTTCTCTCTATAAATAATTATTGAACCTTATTTCTAACACAGCGAAGCGTATTTAAGTGTAAATGAAACAATTTCTATAATGCTCAGACTTTACACGTTTCCCAATATAATTACTTTATATTATTAGAAACGGTCTATTGGTAAATCTAATCAAAGTTTTTTATTCACTAGAACTTCTGTTGGGATACTTTTCTTGCTATGTTAACTACTGGTAGATTAAATTTTATTCGACTTTTAAATAAATAAATAAATAATATATTGGGACATTCACACACAGAACCATCTAGTTCCATGGTAAGCTACGAGGCATACACTACATATATATAACTTTAAATACATACATATAATAATTAAAAACACCCATGACTGGAATACAAACATTTATGCTCATCACACAAATGAATGCCCCCAGCCGGACTCGAACCTGCGACCGCTGGTACAATAAGTAGGGTCACTACAAACTAAGCCAAACGTGTCGTCAAATTTAAGTGAAAAAAACAAAGATTGTTACAGAAGTATTTTTTAAATGTCGACAGTTGAAATATATTATACAAGCCCGTGCAAATGTAAAAATGCATTCTGTACACCTTCACCCTTATATCTATACTAATATTATAAAGAGGTAAAATTTGTGATTTTGTGAGTTTGTGAGTTTGTGACGTTGTAGGGGGTAATCTGTGGATCTACTGAACCGATTTTCAAAATTCTTTTACCAATAGAAAGCCACATTCTTTCTGAGTGTCATAGGCATATATTAACCAGAAAAATAAAAAGGCTTTTTCGTGGTAGTCGGATTTGCAAAGTAAGTCGGAGAGAAAACGGTCGAACGAAAAAGTTTTGTTACGAACGCTGCCTTAACGATAAGAGATATATGATTATATTCAAGAGAAAAGTTGTAGAGCTTAATAATGCCTACAAAAAAGTCAGCGACAGCATATGTCTAACTTTTATATTTAAGTCACAAAAAGTAGTTTTTTATATTAAAAAATAATTTAAATCGGTAGGTCATGTTTATTGGTCATATTATCAACAATTATGAATTCTTATCAAAATAAGTAAACTTATCGTCTAAAATGTTTAAAACAAAAGACTTTTCCCTTTTACTGCATATAATTTGGACAAATAGTTAAAAAGATATAACAACATATTCGTAGGTATAGACGAACCCGAGCGAGCTGTTTGTCTGTTTTTCTGTTTGTACGGGCTAATCTCCGAATCTATTGGACCGATTTAAATGAAATTTTGCATGGTGATACCTTATATCCCTAGGCAACATCTTAGATACTTTTCATCTTGAAAAATTAAAGAGTTCCCGTGGGATAGTTAAAAAACTATAACAACTTATACAGCTTAGTACACAAAAACTACTGATTGAATTTTAATGAAACTTTACAATAATATAGTTCATACATGACAAAAACAAATCAGCTACTTTTCATCCCGGAAAATTGAAGAGTTTCCGTGGGATAGTCAAAAAACTATAGTAACTTATACCGCTTAGTACACAAAAACTACTGATTGTATTTTGATGAAACTTTACAATAATATATATAGCTCATACATCAGAATAACAAATAGGTCACTTTTTATCCCGGAAAAATATACTGTTCCCGTGGGATAAATGTTTTTGTTTATTTGTAACGTATTATGTTCACAACATAGACCCCAAAACAATAGTTATTAAAAAAATTGTGTGTTTTTCTGTTTGCCTGTATGTCTGTTTGTCTGTTTTTGCGTGAGCGTTTCACGCGAAAAGTAATGTACCACTTTCAACAAAATTTGGTGAAGTGATAACTTATTAGGTACTCGAGTCAACATTAAGGGTATCTTTTGTATGTATGTATGTATTTATATATGTATGTATTCAGCCCTTTTTAACGTCCCACTGCTGGGCACGGGCTCCCTTCAATACGAGGGGGATCAGGCCATAGTCCACCACGCTGGCCAAATGCGGGTTGGCGGACTTCACATGTCTTTTGAAAACTTGCTAGGTTCTCTCAGACATGCAGGTTTCCTCACAATGTTTTACTTCATCGTTAAGACAAATGGTAATTGTGTTAGAAATGATTCGCACAAGAAAATATCAGAGGTGCTAGACCCGGGATTTGAACTTGCTTCACTCGCAAGATACTTTTCATTCCAGAAAATTAAAGAGTTTCCGTGGGATAGTTAAAAAAACTATAGTAACTTAAGTAACTTATACAGCTTAGTACAGAACTACTTATCCTCCTAATTTAGTAAAATTTGGCATGCTTATAGCTTATATTGCCGATCAAACAACAGGTTACTTTTTATTCTGAAAATTCATCATTCCGGAAAAATGAACGGTTCCTGTGGGATAGATCTGTTTGTGCTTTTCTAGAGGTGAACCCGAGCGAAGCGAGGGTGAGCTGCTAGTTATATTATATTATAGTATGGTGGCATGAATCTGTTACGATCGAATTATCAAGTTCAAAATCATTCGCAGTGCTGGGCTTTATATCCTCTCTAAAGCGCAAACTCGAGCCTCAAGTCTATAATACTTATAAAAACATAGAATAAAAGTAACAATGCTGCGCATTTGAAAAGTTGTCGGCACTTAATCTCGTTTGATTAAATTTAACACTGGGATAACGTACTACAACGTAAAGGACTATTATTTATAGTCACAGTATCGACTACACAGTAAACTAATATTGAAAAACTTAAACTCTACATTTTCAGATATTCATCAGAAATTTTTACAGAGCTCGTTTCTGATATTTGAGTAATTCACAAAAATGACTTCCGTCCTACACGAGGTTTTTTTCACAAAATAAAATTCCGAATCCGTTTGAAATGGAATTAACAATTAGTATTACAAAAGTTTTCAGTAAACTGAACAACAATAAAATGACTTTATCTATAAGTACATATAATAAAATTGTAACTAAGCCGAATCTGTACATTAAATATTTATTCGAAAATCTTATTGAAATAAATATTATTATCGATACAGAGGCCAAATCTATGGTTTTTAGAATTTTTGTCTGTCTGTCTGTCTGTTACCGCATCACAGAAAAACCACTGGAGGGATTTTGATGAAATATGGTGATAGCTGGTTACCCGGATCAACACATAGGATACTTTTAACCGCGGGAAAATATTTCTTTTCTGAGAAAAAATACAAAAACTGCGATGTAAGAGTATACTAATATGTAAAACCTAAGAATTTGTTTTTTGGTCATCTGAACGCGGGCGGAGCCGCGGGCAATGCTAGTATTTTTATATAACTAAATAATACAAAGAAGATGAAATAACAATTTGTTTATCTATATTAAGAATTAACGTTCTTTGACACCTTGTCTATTCTTGACGAGAAAAGTGTGGAGTGTCGTGTTCACGTAATAGATTTAGGCCAGTAACATTATTTAAGTGCCTTGTACGACGTGCCTCCGAGCAAGGGATCATAATGTTTATCGAATTCAATCAAGACCTCAGAGAGCTCCGTAACTTTTTTATAACACTACTTAAATTACAATGAAATTGAAAATGTAAAGATTATGTCATGTCACAGAACAAACCTACTAGTAAATAAGTAAATGTTGCGCATTGATCAAAACGACAAACAAAAGCAAGAATTGGTGGAAAAAGATTCAATCTTTGATATTTTGCTAAAGGCATGCCTTATTTCACCTACGTGTACATTTAACTTCAATGCACATAGTAATCTTATTAGTACGTAAAGCGTTATATTAATTTATAATATTCATCTATTTTTGAAGTCTTAAAGTCTTAGAAGGAAAATGTTTTTTATATACGCTATGTGATATCTTCACTGATTGTGAGTCGATTTTAATAATTTTCTATAAGGACGGAAGAATTACTTCGAAAATTTCATTCTAAATTACGTAAACCGTTTATATAAGTAGTAGTAGTAGTAGTAGTGGTAGCCTATAGAGTATACATATAGGGGAGAGTGGTATGAAAGGGACATTTTTGATATTGAGGCTCTAGAAAATGATTGAGATAATATTTGGAACTGGTTGAAATCGAATGGAAAGCCTCTATTATTATACTACTGAAATAAAATGCACTAATTCTCTTTTCTTTATTCTTAGTTACTTAATTCCGCATCTTAAAAAAATGTGTATTCTGTCCCTTTCAATAATAGCCTGTATTGAAAGGGACACAATAGTTTATGAAAGGGACAGTACATAATATCAAGGAAAATCACTTTACACTTTGCTACACATGTTCTAAAAATATCAAGTATTTGTACAATAACTACTTAGGTATGTTTCAGAATCAAAAAAGTGTTTGGAATTATTATTATTAAGTCATTATTATTTTTTTATATATCATTATTTTAAATATATTATATTATTGCTTTTTTGATTCTGAAACATACCTAAGTAGTTATTGTACACATAGGTAGGGACTTCATATTTTTATAAGATGTGTAGCAAGTGTAAACTTACTATTTTCATCTTACAGACCAGAATTAAACACGTACCTATATATTATTTAAGCAGAAATCAACAATATCATAATCTTCAATTCTTAGACATAAAACAATTATTACCTATTAGATATTCATATTTTAAAATATTGTAGGCTGGCCCCGACTTCGAAAATATCTGATTAGGTATCTATTCTAAATCAAAGCGTCCATTTAGTTATTTTTACATTTTAGTGCCTGGAAGTCGTTTTTTTTTTTAAGTTTTTATTTTTCCATGTTTAGTATAGACGTAATAAGCAGGTAATTTGTAAGACCAAAGTTTTTTAATAACATATTCGATTAAACAATTTATATAAAAAAAAATATTTATTGTTGATTTTTTTAAAAACCGCTCAACCGATTGCATTAAAATTTATATGGGACCACCTGGGAAGTATACCCTTTGAAACAAAAAAAAATCCAAATCGGTTCAGGTGTCTTCGAGTAATCGGTGAGCATACATAAAAAAGATTCCGATAAATCGAGAACCTCCTCCTTTTTGGAAGTCAGTTAAAAAATAATAAATTTAGGTAGTTCTTCTTCATTGGAGGAATATTCGTCAGAGTTCTCGGCAGAACCAGTGGGGGTTTTAAGAGACTGTGGTCGGCCTGTCACAAAAGAAGATAAAAAAATTTCACCTTGACAGCCAATCTGACAGAGATGCCGTTCTATCACGCGTTCTCTCTTAAGGTGGCATTTTAATCTGTAAAAATAGCAGTTGTGAAACGTCCCGTTCATAACCGTTTGTTGTTTCCCTTTCATAAATATCCTACCGTAATTGAAAACATAACCACAAAATTTAAAATATTAGATAAAAATGTATTGACTTTTTGTTCTCGTATCTGTTGATCTCTAGCTGATCACAATAAACTAAAGCTAGATAACAAATAAATAATTAACACGCAGCACTTGGCAAAACGTTTCGCCATTATAACAGAAAAAATACTTTTCAATGTCAATAAAAACAGTTACACGACTATGCCAACTTTGAAATGACAGCAGTGTGAAGTTAGTCGCGAACGAAAGCTTATCAGGACTGTCATACGACATCGTGTTGTGTTTAAATCGTCCTTTTCAATACGTGTCCCTTTCATACCACTTCTCCCCTAGTAGTAGAGTAAAACATGTCAAATGGATTATTGTTCAAAGTTTTCTAACAGTTTAAGATAATTTTATTATTAACCCACAATTTCACTAAATTATACAATTTAATATTAGTATATGAACTAATAAAAATAAATGATAAAAATTATTTACAATCACTTGGTTTTTCAAGAATTCACCATTTATAGTAATTTTTGCAATTAATTTAAAAATTAAAAAAATTAAAATTGAAAGAATCTCAAGTATGATTTTGAAGTTAATATAACTTAGGTAGTATAGTTTTAGGTAAGAAAATATAATTCATTCATATAACTAATTTGTTTTAAATTTCTATAACTATTTGTTCAAAGATTTAATTGGAAACTGATTATATTGCTTCTATAAATATGGATGTCTCGTCTCGTTCGGTTGAGAGGACACTCATTATCACAAAATTGTGCTACTACTTATAATTAATAAAGTTAAATTTGTTCAATAGAGCCATAATAGACTTGTACATAACTTTTTTTTGCAACTAACAATTATTTTGACAATATCTTGAAATGTTACAACTTTAGAAATTAAGTTATAGTTCTTATTAGCAAAATCATTGCTTTTGGATACTTTGTTAAATAAACATCCATAGTATCGTAAATACCAATTAAAAATTCTTGGAAATCTAATTTATAACAATCTTGCACTAAAAATTTCTTTAGAAATATTATACTACAGAATTTCTAAAAATGTTATTTTAAGTTTCCTCGAACTAAATATTTGTAGCATGTGTAATGTAATAGATATACCTACTACATGTATATGTCTAGACTTTAGATATAGATAGAAACTTTATTGTACACATAACACAGAAACTACAAATTATTAGGTATGAAAAAGTAAAAAAAAACATGCAAAGACGTTCTTATTGCTACTAGCCATTCTTGTAGGCAACGTAATCTAAAAGGATTCTCCATATCGTGATAATGCAATTAAAATAAAATATATAATTTCTATATTTTCTATGTAAATATATATTAACATACAAACACAAAAACAATAGATATACTAGTTATGGTTATGTAATCATATATTTATATAAAAAATAGTATATTTTTAAAGTTAATATGTCTTTATTGAAAAAAAGAAAATAATGACGTGGATAATGCGTTAGATATTTACTAAGGTTACGCTACGCCCCACGATTTTATTTTTGAGTCTGATCAATGCCCTAGATTGATGAGGAGAGTGGTGTGATGACTGGTACCTAGGACCTACCTAATTAATGTTTAGCTTTTAGTATATTATCTACATCATTATTCTTTGCTTTCAATAAAACCGTTTAACTTAAAAAAAATACCTGTCTCATTTTCAAGTTTTTAGTTTATTTTAAACTGTCTAAACTCTATGATCTGCCATGCACTGTGTTCTACTTGTAAAGCTCTTTCATTTGGTACCCATACTGAGGAGGTTGTGAAAAAATATGTAAACCGCCATTTTGTGTCGACGGCCATCTTGGATTTACAATGATACTAAATATATTCAATTGTCATCAGAAAAAATGGTAAAATTTCAATTACTAAAGAAAAGGAGTTTCAATTACTAAATTTGACCCAAACAAACAGGCAAACTAAATAAAACCGTATGAAACCGTATAACTGGTCTTATACTTTTAAAAATGTTAGGTAATTCTGAATTTCGAAACTCTGATGGCAAAATATTCCATAATTTGACGCATGTTATCGTAAAGGTGTTGACGTAATATTGAGTACAACAAGTTTCAATTTTAGACGGTTATCGAACCATGATCGGAACTCAATGTCCGTATAATTTGTGCCAAGAAAACAGAAACACTCCTTTACATAAGGGGGGGCTGCGGATTGTAAAGGTTCGAATTTGGAAGAAAAAATATGTACATATGTACATCGTACAAGCCCCATCAGTGTCCGGTTGTGAGACGTAAAGAGAATTGTATCAAATTAAATTTATGGACATAAGCCATAAATGAATCAAATGTATGTATATGTTGATTAGTTGTATTTTCTTAAGTTATTCTTTTGTAAGGTCAATGTAATAGGCAATAGGTATAATCCTAAATCGGAAGCAAAAAAGAATAAGCTAAATAAATGTTGATTTTAGTGAATAAAACTTTTTTCCATCTCCCCAAACATCCGATTGTTGCAAATTTTGTTGCTCATCCTCTATTTGGGCCAACCAGGAAATTGATTATCTGACTGTAAGCCAAGGTTTCAAACAGAATTGTTGAATACAGAATTGGTGTATACATTTTTTTTGTGTTAGAATGTTATTAAAGGAGATGGTTAGTAATAATAATATTTAAAAAAATATTAAAGTATACAGAAAATACTTACCAAATGCATAGTAGCATACTTGAAAAAGATGAGGTGCAATGGCGGTAAGCAGACCGAACAAGGCCTGGGGAAGTTCAGTTGCGAGGAACAGCCCCAGCAAAGCTACGAGCATACGCGTCGTACGATCTGTCCGGCCGGCAGTACGCTTGCTGTTGTCTTCGTTAAGACGAGCTTTTTCGCCCTAAAGAAAAGTTAATCTGTAATATCAGTCAGTATGTTTTTAGGTTTTAAAGTATAAAATATATTTTTTTTTAAAAAATATTTGCTCTCTTCTTTGCGGGTATAACTTTGTTGGCCACTTTCCGCCAAATTAAGGGCGATGAGTTTGATAGGCCACGCCTAAGGCAACGCCTTGCTCGTATCTAGGCTGTCAAAAATACATAATATAGGTTATGATTTGAAGACACATTACCCGAATGTGACGGTACCATTATGCGAGTACATATGAAAATTAAGACTTCTCAAATAACTCATAAGCAAACACCCTTCCCCGCCAAATCTTTTAAACTACTGAGCATAGAAATTATATATAATTGTAATTTTATAAAATTACTCCATTACTACAAGTGTTTTTTATTTATATACGTTGTATAAATGTGTTTCACTGAATTATAAATAAGGCAGTTAGTTTTTCAGCTTATTCTACTGTATCTATTACTCATGAGTATATTGCAAGGACGATAGGAGATTTATAACACCACACTATATTTTTGCTGAGTTTTGTTACATAAATTATAAACGGTGAATATTTCTACCTCAATGTATATGAATTATTTATATAGGTCAGCAACTGGTCTACGTTTTGTAGTAGGATATGTTTTTCACGATTCAAATGTCGACTAAATGTTGTTCATCTTATTACTCACATAAATGTTCTTATATTTTAACGTGTTTATGACTTGACTATGGAAATAGAAATACACGTGGGCGATTGCAAAGACGCGATTTAGTACAGTGTAAGAATAATTATAAACGCTCGTTGCAAAGCTACCACTCCATGAAAAGTCACTTGGACCAATCTACATATTCTATGTAATTTAATATGCTGAATTTGTAGCACAGAAATAGTCAGCCGCCTATATTTAATTATACTCGTATAATATGTATTTTAAGGCTTAAGTAAAACATTACAGAATATTTAATATGGTAAATTATGGAATGTTATTAAAAGTTGTTCAAATTATGTTATTCCAGGAACTATAGGAAGGAATCGTTGTAGAGAATGTAAATTTTATAATTTATATTCGATGAAAATATTTTTATATATTAGCGTTATAGAAAATTTTATTCAGTTTCATCCATAAGGATTTCATAAAAAACCTAACAAATAACTTCCTCCAAGTGTTTTCCTACTGTTTGAATTATACGAGCTTCTTTATTTCCTTATCTATATTGGATAGATATACCGTATACAAATTGAATAAAATATAGAAAAAATTACCTCATTTGTTGTTATAGCACTTTTTTTTAGCAGTTGTTGTCTTCTTCTATCACTTGATTTCATTTTCATTATAAGACATACACTTAAAATGGATAGCACTATACAAGGTATTAATTTTAGAAAAACACTATAAATCCAAAATATAGCAGTTAGCAAATTTTCATTTTGAGTCATAGATATTGCATACTTTGGTTCTTCAATTTCTGAACCGTTCGCAAAATTTGTTCCATTTATTGTACTATTATCACTTTCTTTACTCTTTGTAGGTAGTTCCTGAATAGTCATTGCAAAATAAATTGGAAGACACACAATCGGACAAATAATGTAAGCAACTGCTATAGCTATATTCGTGTTTCTTCTATTACATAGTGTCTTGTTTTTCTGAGGAAATTTAATTGCCACAAATCTCCATATTGCCAATGTTATCGTTAGCCAAATTGATATAGTGTGAAAAGTTTGACTGAACATGGAATGGAAGTATACAAAAAGAGCCCACGCATAAGAATTTCGATTAAGGGCTTCTGCGATATTAGTATATATGTGAAGAGCTAACGGTATATAATCTATCATAACTAGAAGGTCGGCAAAAGCAAGCGCTGTAAGAATAGAATTAGTGGAGGAGATCATTTCCTTTCGACTAAGTACGGCAATATTGACGGAGTTGGCGACAGATCCGAGGAGGCATATTATAAGTGCTATATAGCCATGGAATTTTACATATATACGTTGGAAGTTTGGTCCACCAGGATCACAATACGCTACCACGTGATCATCACCACCGACTTCTGTACTAGACATTTTAAGGTTTTGAGATGCCTCTGCTAAATATGTAGAGCGCCTATATAGCTGCTGCTGCTGCTAATCCCGATACACATTTTCTGGAAAAACGGAAAGAAATTAAAATATTTAATCTATACAGATAAATAAAATTGAAGTGCCTGTTTGTAATGTCATAATAACGGCTTTTTACTAAATGCATATGAAAGTATATACGGTACTAATAACAAAAATACACATTTTTATTATTTTGTCTGTCTGTCTGTTTGTTCTGGCTAATGTCCAAAACGGGTAGACTGATTTTGACGGGACTTTCACTGGCATATAGCTAATTTTATAAGGAGTAACTTAGACTATTTTTATTTTAGAAAAAAGTTGGAATTCAGCTGAACAAAATTAAAACGTAGGGGAGAGGTGGCATGAAAGGGACATTTTTGATATTGAGGCTCTAGAAAGTGATTGAGATAATATTTGGAACTAGTTGAAGTCGAATGGGAAGCCTCTATTATTATACTACTGAAATAAAATGCACTAATTCTCTTTTCTTTATTCTTAGTTACTTACACAGTACATAATATCAAGGAAAATCACTTTACACTTTGCTACACATGTTCTAAAAATATCAAGTATTTGTACAATAACTACTTAGGTATGTTTCAGAATCAAAAAAGTGTTTGGAATTATTATTATTAAGTCATTATTACTTTTTTATATATCATTATTTTAAATATATTATATTATTGCTTTTTTGATTCTGAAACATACCTTAGTAGTTATTGTACACATAGGTAGGGACTTCATATTTTTATAAGATGTGTAGCAAGTGTAAACTTACTATTTTCATCTTACAGACCAGAATTAAACACGTACCTATATATTATTTAAACAGAAATCAACAATATCATAATCTTCAATTCTTAGACATAAAACAATTATTACCTATTAGATATTCATATTTTAAAATATTGTAGGTTGGCCCCGACTTCGAAAATATCTGATTAGGTATCTATTCTAAATTAAAGCGTCCATTTAGTTATTTTTTACATTTTAGTGCCTGGAAGTCGTTTTTTTTTTAAGTTTTTATTTTTCCATTTTTGGTATAGACGTAATAAGCAGGTAATTTGTAAGACGAAAGTTTTTTAATAACATATTCGATTAAGCAATTTATTTAAAAAATATATTTATTGTTGATTTCTTTAAAAACCGCTCAACCGATTGCAATAAAATTTATATGGGACCACCAGGGAATATACCTTTTGAAACAAAAAAAAAATCCAAATCGGTTCAGGTGTCTTCGAGTAAAAAAGATTCCGACGAATTGAGAACCTCCTCCTTTTTGGAAGTCGGTTAAAAAAGTAATAAACTTAGGTAGTTTTTCTTCATTGGAGGAATATTCGTCAGAGTTCTCGGCAGAACCAGTGGGGGTTTTAAGAGACTGTGGTCGGCCTGTCACAAAAGAAGATAAAAAATTTTCACCTTGACAGCCAATCTAACAGAGATGCCGTTCTATCACGCGTTCTCTTTTAAGGTGGCATTTTTAATCTGTAAAAATAGTAGTTGTGAAACGTCCCGTTCGTAACCGTTTGTTGTTTCCCTTTCATAAATATCCTACCGTAATTGAAAACATAACCACAAAATTTAAAATATTAGATTAAAATATACTGACTTTTTGTTCTCGTATTTGTTGATTTCTAGCTGATCGTAAACAGTGGATGACAAATAAATAATTAACACGCAGCACTTGGCAAAACGTTTCGCCATTATAACAGAAAAAATACTTTTCAATGTCAATAAAAACAGTTACACGACTACGCCAACTTTGAATTGACAGCAGTGTGAAGTTACGTGCGAACGAAAGCTTATCAGGACTGTCATACGACATATATAGTGTTGACCCGAAATTGTTTTTATTTTGCCCGTTATTTAAGTCGTCCCTTTCAATACGTGTCCCTTTCATACCACTTCTCCCCTACCTAGGGACGCACCCGAGCGAAGATTTCGTGAGATTTTGCTAGACTCCCTTCCCCCTCCCCTAATCTCACGTGATTTTTTTTAAGTGTGATGAAAATAAAATTAATAATAAAACAATGTTATACAGATTTTTTTTTCAGTGAACATTATTAGTGTATCGTATGTTTATTACAAAAGGTTGTGAATGATCTTGACATCGCATATATACCCTCACATCTGTATGTATACATATATATATATATAATCTAAATCTCGGAAACGGCTCCAACGATTTTCATGTAATTTAGTATACAGGGAGTTTCGGGGGCGATAAATCGATCTAGATTAGTCTTATGTCTGAGAAAACGCGTGTTTTCGGATTTTCATGCGGTTTTCTTTTGCATTATTCCACGCAAAATATTATGTTCGATAATTTCGCACGCTCGGATATAAGCATCATGGTCCAGCGGCCGAGGCGCAAAATTGAATAAGTGTACTAGAAAGAAATATTCACTCCAAAATAATTTATTTATTATTAATAAATATTTATTAATAATTACCGAATATTTATTGAATGTTAAAAAATATTTGTTCATATTTAAGAAATGAATAAATTGCTTCAAAAAAATTAATTTATTAATAGTTAATAAATTCTTCTATCAGTGCATAATTAAACCGCAGTGAATATTATTATATATGGTTTAGCCATATTTTAGTGGAGAAGCATTTTTTAATTAAATTAACCCAGCCTTTTCGCAATTTTACACTGTTTCTTGCGGAAAAAAATTACGCGATATTTGCCGAGACCACCCCTCGTGAGATTGAGTGAGGTTTTGCTGGACCTCCCCCCCCCTCCTCCTCCCTCCCTAAACGCATCACGTAATTAATGGATGCCCCCTAAGAAAAAATAAATATCAAATGATCAAAAGTTATTTTCGTTTTTGTTCCAAATCTGGTTAGACTTTTAAGTAGAGGAAAACATATTTTATAACATACATACATATATAATATGAAAAACAATTTTCATATATGACCTATTATTCTCTTAAATTAAAAACTGCAACTAATATTAAAAATTTGCCTCTGTTTTTGGTTAAAGGTATTTTTAAATATTTTTCGTGCCACTAATAGCTTTCGCTCGCTTTAATATGTAATTTCAATTATGGTTAAGTGAAGTATTGTCACTTAGCGTTTACCCCCAGCGCCTCATGCGCTATTTATTTGTGTATCCCAAGGGTTCTCTGCCATTCATCCCCTAGTTTACACCTTTAGGGGTTGAATTTATAAAAAACCCTTAGTACTCCCTACGTTATAAAAGGAAACCTTTTGCAAAATTTCGCGTATCTAGATCCGGTCGTTTAGTCTGTGGGCTGATATATATCAATCATTTATCCTTTTATATGTAAATAGATTATAATAGATAGGTATAGCGAAAACATGCATAACTACATTTAAAGTAATAAAAATCAATATTAATTAAAAATAGGTATATGGAAAAGCAAATATGTGAAAGCCCAGACTGTATATGATTCCCCACTTAACTTTATCTTTCATCTCTAAATTCAGACGAATTTTCCCCACACTTGCGGCGGTCTATGAACTTTTCATTAAACTATAATAAGATCCTATGTCTATCCTATATAATTATATTTTTTGTTTATTAATTTCCAATATCAGATTTCACAAGCAGTTAGTTACGTATTGATAATTTTTATACTTTAAGATTTAGAAACGTAAAATAAGAAACAACGAAAAAAGAAAAACGTATAAATAAGAAGACAAAAATTTTATATAGAGATAAAACGCCGAATAGTATGTCATACATTTTGTTTTCATTGAACGTTCTTATGTTTCGAAAGTAATATGAGAGATACACCTGTGACAGACTCTGAGGTTATTTTCAATTTTTAGGTAGGAATTATTTAGTATTTAAATATATACATAAATTAGCGACTTAGCCTCGCTCGGGCGCGTCCCTGGGTACATTTTAACGCTCAGTATAGAATATAGTAGATACATTATACATATATGTATATACATAGGTAAAGATATAGAAAAGTAGATTTAAAACCTCTAAAAAAACTTGAAATCATCCCATATTTTACCTTGATTGGACAATAGGGAATATGCGTGTAATTTAAATAAAGATGATTTTTTTTATAATCTTTATTGCTTAATACTTTCTTATATTTACGCGAATTATTGGCATTTTAAATAAAACTATCTTTTCGGATTTTTTCGCGAATTTATTTTGATTTTTGGTTCCCGACGTTTCGAATGCTTTACAGTAATCAGTCTCTCCTGTGACCATGATTATTTATGTAGCATATAAAAGTAAGTACCTATGGATGACAACATATGAATAGGTAGGTATAGGCCATTTTATTTCATAAAGACGTACTTACTGTATATGGAAGTATTCCTAAGAAACCAATGTAGTCGTATATCATGTCTTTGAGAAAACCCATTATAGAAAAAGCTCTACTAACACAAATAGTCGTAACATAGCTTATCACGCATACGTTATTTATGAAGACATACATAGAGGTGGGACAATAAATAAACATTAATTATAGCATTATTTCTATTATGATAATATTACTTTAAACCCCCCAAGGGGCTATTTTACTTAATAAGTATATTATTTAAAAGTACCTGGGCTACCGATATATATATATATATATATATATATATATATATATATATATATATATATATATATATATATGTATATACATATATGTATATACATACATACATACATATATATACACACAAGAATTGCTCGTTTAAATATATTAATATATTATTTCGGAGCTTTATATAGGTGGATTTTTGAGACGGGACGGTAAGAGCAGGTACCTCAACTGCTACAGTTACAGGAAAACGTTCCTACGAGACCACCCATAACTTTTTGAGATATTCTGAACTTCATTCACAGATTTTGAAAAAATGTACAGTTAGCGAAAAAATGCTAAAATACAAAAAAAATTTTTTATCTCAATCGATCTTATTTCATATAGGGATCAAAAGACTCTATGAGACTATTTAAGGTATGAGTACTAGAAATG